CCAATGACAACCATTTTTAAACAAAAATTTTAAAAAAAATATTAAAATCAAGATTAAAACTGGTAGGTGGTGGTAAGTGAGTAAAAAATACTGTACGACCTATTTTTAGGCCTACCGAATATACACAAACAATTTCATGAAAATCAGTCAAGCCTTTTCGGAGGAGTTCAATAACAAACGCTGTGACCGGAAAATGTTATTTATAAGATATTTATTACTTATTACGTATAGTTTATTAGATAAAAATAAACCTAAACCTTATTTACTCATTTCACTTATTTTGTATACATTTGTATTTGCATACTTTATTTGTATCACTATCTTAGAGTCCAGAAACAGTACAAAACAGTACAATTTAGTAGGTGCCTAAATAATATCTTATACTTTCAATTATTACAAAAACATATGCTTATTAGATCCACGGGGCATAAGGCTTAAATAAGGAAACAAATTTAACTTAACTTGACAATTTAATTAATTAATTCATGAGCTACTGTACGCAGAAGTTATTTCTAAAAAATATATTTATCTCTTTATACAACTTAATTAAAATTGAGTAACTTAACTTCTACTTTTTAACTTTTTAATATCCAGCTTTGAGTCTAGCGGTGATATTAGAAATGTAATTTTGGGTATAATTTGTTATATTATTCAATACATGTAGACTATGGATGTATTTAATCCCCACAATGTATATGATCCCCACAATGTATATGATCCCCACAATGTGCATAGCATACTGTTATAGCAATAATTATTGATTATTTCGTACTTGTCAGGTCCAAACAATTTCCAGTGTTGCCGTTTTTGGAACGGCGCAGCCACAAATGAAACAGTTGTGAAGGGCTTACGGGAGGGTGACGCTGAATATAGGCGCATCCGCTTATCCGCGACCACTCATCATCAACTACCGTAACATTGTACCTATCCGTTAGGCCAAGTGGAGGACAGTACACGCCATTGATTCTTTCTAAATCTGCAACACACATAAGACAAGGCAAAATATAACACATTACATTACAAGCGTTTTATACTTATTAATTGTCTATACAATTATTTCAGTTTAATGTCCTCACGTATTGTGTGTTTTTTAAATTATAAAACTCTGTAGATATTTCGGCAGTGATGAATCGCCGCCGGACTTACACGCCCTTGCGCACGCTGCAAGTCTCTAAAACATACCTACCTATTATTAATCGATATTTTCAAAAAGGATGAGGGTACAACAAAATGTCCTAACATTAGAAACTTCCTAGTATATAATATTACGTATTTAGAATTTTACTTTTAAGTTCGATTAATTCATAATTTTTTTTTAATACGTTATTCGGGTGATTGAATTCATCGTCGTTACACGACTAAAAGTATAGCTTTGGTATCTAGTAAGATATTGTGACTAGCTGTGTTATCAAGCAAATGATGTTCTTTCGAATTAATTTATTTCTAAAATTGGAAGCTCAAAAAAGATACTAAGTTAATTTAACTCTACTGTACATTAAGTGCCTAGAAGGTTACCTGATGGATGTTATTAAATATAATATAATATCATTGTATACAAAAAAACGATTCTAAGCGGAGACGGTATGTCAGTCTAGAAAATTTAAAATTTGTATAACTTATTATTAATAAGGTAGTTGGTAAGTTGAGTTAATATTATCCATAATATTGTTCTAAAATTATCAATGATGCTAGAAAATTATTATATACACGTATGTAAAATTGGGCTGTTTTAGAACCAAATTGCAACGAAATGACTCAAATCGTTATTCTTTGTGTTAATGGGTAATTTCATCTAAATTTTAACTCAAAATAACCATAAAAAGCCTGTGTTCATGTTAATTTTTCGATTTTTTTTTTTATAGAATTAAATACTTACGTGGACCATTGTTTTAAATGTTCAATACTTAGCTATAAAAGTTGAACATTTAATACATTTTTATCTACAAAATAATTTTTCAATATTCAATAATTAATCTCAATATTTAGTAAAAATTTGTACTTTATATGATAATAAAACAAATACGTGTTTTTTAACCCAACAAATAAAATTTTTTATTGAAATTTATAAAAATAAAAACTAAAAAAATTGAAAATTGAAAATCATAAATTTTTTTTTAACTTCCACTAACAACAACTTACGAGGAACCCTATATTACATTTTCAAGTTTTATGACAAAGCGAAAATTGTTTATCGAAATAAGTTTAAAAAAAAAAATAATAATCGAAAATATGTTATATGCTTATAAAGAGTTCAACACAAGTCAAAATATTTTAAAAATTGTATGGTGTAAAGAAAATGCTAACACAAACATTTAGTGGAAATGTAATGTATCTATGGTCATATTTTTTTTAGAGTTACGCCAAAAACAAAAATCGATTTTTTCGAAAAATCCTTTGAAATAATATAATAGAATTAGTATATTGTAATATAAGTAATGATTTTTTTATTTATATATTATAAACTTACATTATGTAATAATTGTTATATATTAAAATCTACAAAATATATTATCATGTATTTTTATACTCATTATATTTGTAATCGGGTAAAAATACAACAAAAAAATAGCATAAAGAGGTAAAAATATTCAAATATAAATTTGATAAAAGACCAGTGGACAAGTGGGTACAGCTCTGCTGTCAAGTTGTAATGGATGTATTTGAATAAAATAATAAATAATTTAATTCGAAAAACGATTCTTTGCCTGACTAGGAGTCAGCCTATTGCCAATGTCGGGGACAAACGAATGTGTGGTTGGTGGCTCCGCCTCCGTCAGCCGCCGTATTATTAAAACCTGATATTTTAGGTAACGTTCACCAACTGCGTGCGAACTTCGAATGTGGGTACTGAAATTATTTGTTTTTCAAATATGCCGCCAAAAGGGTATTCGAACGTTACTCGTGTGACATCGCATCGTAGTTCGTAGGCGGAGTCACAAACACACATTCGTTTGATCTCCGACATTATTACTATTTCGATTTTTTGTAATGCTTGTCGCGGATTCACATTTACTGGATACCAGTACCAGGATCGCACGTGCTAGTCGTTACTGTTCTTCGATTTTTCAGGCGGCGGCGTCGGATGCCAGTTATTGCGACGGCGGCAGTAGCGGGCATCGCTATCACCGTATACGATCCTATTACATTCGTTTAGTAATTTACCTCCGACGTTATTTTACATCGTCCCTGTACCGTTCCTACAACGTCCTTGCTACGTTCATACAATATCGGATGAACCAACTGCGTAAAACACAAACTTCATACGACATCGAATAAAAAAACAAAACAACAACCGAGTAAAAAACAAACCATGAAGCGTCGTTTTTTCAACTTTTTTATCATCCAAATTACGCTCGTTACGATCATTTCATGTACAGTCAATAATAAAAAATTAAAATTGCATATTATTATATTTATTTATTTGGTTATGTCAATCGGTAAATACCTACGAATAAAATTGAAAAATGGATGAAGCTCTTCTCTACAGAGGTACAGTTGTAGGTGTCTAGAGGAGTCTCTGTTATGGATGTATTTTGATGAATGTTGTCAATATCTTACATAATATGTATTTTTAATACTTTTCAACTGCTGTTGTAACAATATATCATGAACCTTAAAATAAATGTTCAAGCTTTTTTACTCAACAAATAAAATTGTGTTGACATTTATAGAAAAAAATGAAAACTGAAAATGTCAGTAAACAGCTTATATAGTATATATATATCTATTATTATATAATATCTTATATAGTTGTGAAAATATCAAAAAATCAATACATTCACCGCTCCACTAAGAATCTAAAATTAAGGGGATCGAAGCACATGGTTTTTATACGTTTTAAATTTTTTATAGGTTTATGTATAAATTCTTTGATAAAATATCTATTATTTTTAAGATGTAAATTTTCAACTTTCAATTTTAAATAGCCTTAAAATTAAGATACTGTTTTCAAAAATCCCATGAATTAGTTCCAAAAACATTGTATTTAATTTGGGCACTTATGATTTTAAATAACAAAAAAAGCAATTCCTAAAGAGCTTATTTTAGTAGCGGATTATGTTATTTTCAATCATTTTTTCGAAATTACTATCGGACTTCAGGAAGTATGTTAAATTAACTACCACTTTTAGTAATTTGTATAGTTATGTAAACAAATATATATATATATGACGCGATAAGCTCTAGACCCTACTAATAGAATTATTCATTTATGTCAGTAAAGTTGCCTACTTTCATTGTAAGGCGTAAACATTGATCGCCATTTGAGTGTAATAAACTAATAACCACCTATTCGTCCCCTTACACCGACTTACTGTACCTATTATTGCCTACCTATCCACCTTGTGTATTTTATCTTTTAAATTATTCCAAAACCCAATACTGCCTCAACCAAATTATCTTCTGGATCTACTGCAACCTCAGCTCTACTACACAGTATGCAATTCTATTCTACCAGAAAAGATGCTGAAGTAGAAAATCGAAGTATTTTTAACACCACAAAAAGTGACAACAGACACAAAAAACACATACATTATTGTAAAATTAATATATTCAACCTCTCTGTTTAGAATTCAAAACCATGAAAATTGTATAGGTATATTTATTTATACTCACATTCAACATGTTTTTGTACTGTCATATCTGTTATTTTATTTCCTTTTTCATCTCTGAAGGCAACCACCTTGAGGGAAGTGATGGCAAGTAATATAAATATACATGCCATAGACGCCATAGCGTTGTAGGTCGGACGATTAAATGCGAACTATACGTCGAAAAAATGAATTTAGACCGACAGTAAAATCAAAACGATTTGCGACGCACACGCGAGAGAAGTCAACAACGGGAGAGCAAAACGTCTGCCTAGGGACCGAGACAAAATGTGAACTGGAAAATGAAATGCACGGTTACCACGAAGAAGGTGAACCGCACTACCCACTCTTTTTACTTTTAAATAATGGGAGGTATAAAACGAAGCACGCCACACCTTACTTACACTCACAATGACAAATGTACACAATAGCACAATAGTACCGTTTCAAGGTCTCGTTGGACTGATCGTAGACAGCAGCCCTGGAGCAAGGGTCTTTACAAGTGATGCTTAGGTATTATATTCACCATATATATAATATATATGTATAGGTTTCGCAGATTTAGTATCTACTCCGGCGGCTGTATTCATTATTTCGGCATACCGTTTATCATATACATATGCAAATTGATTTCGTCGGATATTGTTCATGCTTGTTGATTTCACCTAGTCTCACATTTTTTAAATATACACTTACAAAATATAACGATTGAGATGGTAAAAAATGAAATATGATATTATTTTTATTTTTTACAGTAATTATTAAAAATAACACATTTTCAAAAGCGTTAACAGTTTTTGAAATAATGATCAATTACGATAAAAAAAATCACCCTATACCTAGATGTATTAATATTTTGCAGCAAGTTTTTATTTTTATTTTTAATAATTATTTAAACTAATGTATGAGTTAAGACTCAGTAACCTTTTAATTCGTAGGTTACTGTATAGGTACAATATGAATGCTGTTTCATGCTACATAATTGGATGGATGTCTGTCCTATATCTTAAAATTGTTATTTATACAATTTTGTTTTTGTTGTTAGTAAAACATTTTAGAAATGTAAAACAAAACAGTTTATATAGTGGCTCATGCGTATATAATTTCATAAATATTTTTTGTAAGGACTTGGAAATTATAATATAGAAAAAAGGTAATTCTTTTTTGCCGATTGTCACACAACGCAAGTCTAAAAAAACAAAAAAATCAAGATACACATTTTTCTGTATGTCGGGTTCACCAACAATGGGTATGAACGAGGGTCACACGTACAATTCGTTACTGTTCTACGATTTTCGCAGCGACGACGGCTGGTGGCACTGTGTGTGCGACTGTAGCATTGGTAACACTGTGTGCCGGACGGCGGCATGTGTTGTAGTCTCTCTTCCAGCGGGGAAGATCTGTCTTTTGAACGAAACGGGTTCACTTGCGGAGACCATGTACCAGGGTCTCACTTGCTAGTCGCTACTTTTTTCGCGTCATCGGTTACTAGTGCTTGCGACGGCGGCTGTAGGGCTTAGGCATCGCGATCTCCGTATATGATCCTATTACGTTCGTTTGGTAATTTACCTCCGTCGTTATTTTACATCGTCCCTGCATCGTTCCTACAACGTCCTTGCTATATTATTAGAACATCAATTAATGTAAGAACTGAATAGGTAGTAAATAAACCTCACTCGCTGTTTTCACCAATTTTTTTTATCCAATTTACGCTTATTACGATCGCGCCAGGAAAACGAGATTCCCTACGAAGTCGTCATAATTATATTGGTATATTGGTAATATCAAGTTGGTCTTCGGTTGAATCGCGTTGATCGCGGCAGTAAAAACCTTATTCAAAAAATGTGGGGTCGGAGTACCAGGATATCATGCACTAGTCGGCGCTTTTTTTCGGTTTCGACGGCGGTGGCGGCGGCGACGGCGACGATGGCAGTAACTGGTACATTGGTAATATCAAGTTGGTCTTCGGTTGAATCGCGTTGATCGCGGCAGTAAAAACCTTATACGAAAAATGTGGGTTCGGAGTACCAGAGTCTCATGCACTAGTCGGCACTTTTCTTCGGTTTCAACGGCGGCGGCGGCGGCGGCGACGGTGGCAGTAACTGTTCGGTGCTCGTTCGACGACCGTCACGATCACGGTATGCGTTCCTGTTGCACTCTGTTTGATTCTATAGACTACACAAAGAACAAACACAACCCGCGTGCCACCGTGGCCCGGGCCTGGGCCCAACCATAGGCGCAATTTGGGGGGGGGGGCTTGGAGGGGCTTAACCACTTCAAAAATTCATATTTTAATTGAAGTATTAAATCCTTCATTAATTATCTAATCTACATAATACAGTAAATGTTGTTTGAAAAAAATTGTTTCCAACGATTAAATCTGGAAACATTAAACAAGTCCGTGCAAGGTGCAAGATGCAGAGCTTTATCCTAATTTATAGAAACTGTTATCATCATCTTTAAAAATTCCAATTAGCTCTGCAACATGTGAGAGATCATTCTAAGTAATGAGAAATCTTAAAAATTGACTTCGAACATCTACGAATCAAGATGAATTTACAAATTTGTCATTGATTTATATGGGAACGAGATTTTTCAAATTAATTGTCCAACGAAAAAATATTGGAAAAATTTGCAATTTCTAACCGAATTATAATAATATACTTAATAAATATATATATATTACATTTATTTACCTTAATGTTGTTATTTTTTTCATACGAATATTTTTAGGTTTATTAATAGATGCATTATAATATATTAAATGTAGGAAAGTAGGTGAGAAATATGATATCGCCATATTTTTATTTGAATAGGGCCTAAACGTGCCTGATATAAATATGTTTAAATGTGTTGAGCCCCTCCAAGTTAGAAACTAAAACTGCGCCTATGGGCCCAACCCACATCTAGGGCGGCATTTAACATTTTTGTATATTAGATACAATTTAAAAAGACTCTGGAAATTAAATAATTTTAATTTGCTAATTTTCTTTTTCACCTTCTCGAATGACAGTGGAAAGCGTCCAAGATCGGCTAGTGCATAATAATAATTTAAACAATAGAGTAGTTGTTCTATTCATACGTCATAATAATTAAACAGGGATTTATTTGAAGTTAACACTTCAACAGTTATCATGTGTAATATTCATGTCCAATCTGACTGGTTATAGTAAAGTTTGAAGTTATTTTACGTGAATAAAATCAGTTAGTTAAGTCGTTTTTAAATTTAAATTAATTAAATTAACGTCGTTCGTGTCATTATAAAGTATAAATAGAATTCAAAGGTGGAGATCTTGTGAAATATTGAGGGGGGCTCAAATATTTTATGACAAACAGATCCACGGGGGCGTTGCCGTCACACCTTTAACAAACTAATTTTTACAATAAATCACTCATAATCAATTGTTCTCGTTGATTCGTTATCATAACAACTTAAATAATTACAAACATAAAAAAAAGAATAATTAATAAAAGATTTAAATTTAAATATTTCAAACATATTTAAATTAAATTATTTATTAAAAATCGAAATCACAATCTCAAAAGAAACGTATTCCCAAGAACATCAAACAATAAGTAAAATATAATTTAGCATAAAATGGTCAATACGGTTAAGGTAACGGTACGAAATACGAATACGAATGTACGATAATCACAATGTACGAATACGATTCACTCAATCACGATAAACTTTACGATATGTTTAATACAGCTATAGCGATAGTCCTATTATAGCTATCGCTTCTGGAGAATTAATAAAAATTAGAAAATAAATAATATTTTTCCCAACTATCCAGCGCGACGGTAGTGGCGCGATTGCGCGAAGCTAAGTAAAAAAAAAAAAAACGGAGTAAAAATAACGAAATAGCCACTAACGTATAATAACAGGACACCGAGTTTTAACATTGAAAAATCGTCCTAATTTATGTCAATCCTTTACCAACATCTACAGGGCAAACGGCTGAATATATAAAGTAGTATGAGGTATCAATCGATCAGAAATATTGTGCAGTTGTGAACAGAAGAATTCGCTAGCAGATTGGTTTGATAGTTTGTAAGTTATAAGCAAAAATGTTAAAGTACTTTTAAGACTGATTTTGCGTACGGAAGAGTGAGGATAAGCGATGAGTCGATGTACTACGACGATGCACGGGCGATATTATTACTCCGTGGTGACAGCTGACAATATTGCAAAAACAAACAACAAACCAAGGATTTAGTTCTTAATTAATCCTAGTTTGCACTCGATTGTTCGCGACGTGTTCATACTTATATTATTATATTACTGCGTAACGTAATAATATTATTATTATTATTAAATTATTATTAGAATTATTATAGAAGACACGATAATTAACACATCAACATTAAAAATAGTTAATATCACACCAAAAACATTTCGTTATAACTCCGTGTAAAAAAAGCTAAGTTAAAAAAAAAAAAAATTAATAATGAATAAAGCTTTAAAAGACGTGATAGAATCTGGAAATTAAGTAGAATGACATTTTATAATATAACAAAAATACCTATGACGACAAATCAGATCAATTTATTGCAATGTTAAATACTTAGTCAACATATTATGTTTAACTGTTTGGCAGGACGTAGAAGTATACTTAAATAAATACAATTAAGTTACCTCTACAGTATTTACAGTAATTAATAATGTATCAACTATATGTTGACTAAGTATTTAACATTAAAATTGATCTTATTTGTCATCATAGGTATTTGTTATATTATAAAATGTCATTTTATTTAATTTCCATATTTTATCACATCTTTTAAAGCTTTAATCATTATTAATTTTTTTTTTTAACTTAGCTTTTTTTACACCGAGTTATAACGAAGTGTTTTTGTTGTGTAAATATAACGGTATAACATGTTATTCAATATTGATGGCAATTGGTACAATATGTACAATATTAGGTTAATAAACACAATATAATATTATTGTGAATTGTGACTTAATTGTTCGATATGTCACCGTAAATAAAAAATTGGTTAATAGTATGTATGTAATGTACTAGGTGCACTAACCC